GGAGGATTGCGGGGAAGAAGGGAGCACCTGAGGGGCTACCGAGGGGGGAGGGGTAGCGTGGGACACACCTTACGAGGCTAGACCAGGGGAGGCTGTACTGGGGGAGCAGAAGGGGGAGCGGAAGTGAGGAAGAGAGGGGGAGGAGGAACCGGGAGACCTCGACAGGGGTACCTGACGTAGTAGGGGGTGGACTCCTCAAAACGGACGTCACGGGAGTCAAAGAACCGGTGAGAGGGAGGGTGGTAAAAGGTGAAGTCAGAGGAGTCCTCAGGGAAACCAAGGAAGCGACAGGGAATGGCGTGAGGCGAGAGCTTGTCCGCGGAGGTGTGACGAACAAGAGCCAAGCAACCCCAGACACGAAACCGCGACGCAACACCAGGGGACCCGGTCCAAAGACTGGTCGGTGAAGCCTCTGGCCGAGAGACACGTGGCCAGAGGTTCAGCTGGTGAGCGGCGTACCGAACCGCATAGGGCCACAGAAAATGGGGGGCACGGGCGTGAGTCAAGGAGGTGCGGGCGATCTCCATGACCAAGCCTATGCGGCGCTCAGCAACCCCATTCTGCTGTGGGGACTCCGGAAGCGTCCAGGACTGACGAATGCCCTGCTCGCGACAGAATCCAGCAAGAATGCCTGAGCGAAACTCACCCCCACGGTCGGAGTGAAGACAGCTGACACGACGACCACGAGTGTCCTCAGTGGTAAGCAACCACCTGATCAGCATAGAAGTCACCTCAGACTTCTTCGCCAGGGGGAACACCGTGGTGTAGCGGGAGTAGTCGTCAACGACCACCAGAAAGAAACGCTTGCACTGAGGGCCAGGGCGAGGGGCGCGACCCCAGACGTCCAAGTGGAGTGTCTCAAAAGGCTCGGTGGCCGGACGAAGGGAGGAGTGAGGGGTGGCGCGCAGCCGACCCTCGACGCAAGGACCGCACGGTGGCGCAAGGGACGGCGGCAGCGACGGCAAGACACGCGGGAGGCCTAGGACAAGACGCTGACTAGACATAGCGCGCAGACGAGGAATGGACGGGTGCCCCATCCGGTGGTGCCACAGAATGGTGGGGTGGGCAAGCGACCGGCAGGAGCAAGACGCAGCAACTGGGCCAGACGCGGCTACTTGAGGGGACGCGGCAACCTGGCGAGACGCAGGGAGCAAAGCAGGGGAGGGACAGGGGCCGGGGGCACGGGCGGCTGCTGCTGCTGCTGGCGCTCACCAAAGTCAGTGTGAAGAGTGTAGAGACCGGAGCCCGGCTCAGCAGTAAAGGTGGTAAGAGGCTGGTAAGGTTCCCCGTCAACACACACTGCGGTCTCTCCTAAGGGCTCAAACCAAACACCTACGTGCTGACTCACGAGGGGTCTCACGCCCACCAAGTTCCTGGAGAATGAGGGGACGTGAAACCCGGTCATCGACCCGGAGGGAACAGCTGGGCACGGAAGAGTGGTAGAGTAGCGAGCAGTAATTGGTCCTGAGGTGGGATCAGCCAGCGCCACAGAGACAGGCGCATGAAGTGGTGTGAGCATCGTGCGGTCGCGGAAGAAGCAGTGCGAGGCTCCAGAGTCCAGAGTGAGAGACAACGACCTGTCCTCCGAAGCAGCTGCTGGACTAGAGTCTACACAAGAGCCTACACTAGCAACAGGCAACTCAGCAAGACTAGCACCTAAGCTAACAACACTCGAGTAAACAGAGTCAGAAGCACTAGAGTCAACAACAGCATACATAACATGAGGATTTCCTAAGAGATGAACTAGCTGATCAGCTGACATGCCCCACAGAGCGGAGCCGTACCGCTGAACAAGAGGAAACCAGTCAGGGGCAGGACCCCCGACGCCGTAGACCAAGCAAACCGTGTCAGTAAGCTGAGCAAAGCACTGACCAGGAGGGTGAGCGCGTCCACAAGACTGGCCCCGGCGAGCACCTGTCAGAACCTGATAGGTGCACGGAGGGTGAGCAACACCTCGCTGGAGCTGACGCTGTCCTGACCCCGAAGGCTGCTACTACTGCTGCTGCTGCGGGGGCTGCTGCGAGGGGAGGGGCTGCTGCTGCTGCTGCTGCTGTCGCTGAGTCAGGTACCACGCCGCTGCTCCACCCACCGCCGCCGGGGGGCGACTGACGAACACGGGAGTCGCCACCACCAGCTGGAGCAAGGGAGTCACTGGCCGCTGCACGAGACGTCTCTCTTGACCCTGCACTCCCGCCACCACTAGTCGTGACTCCAACCCCACCACCCCCGCCTCCACCGCCGCCGCTGCCCGTACCCTGACCGCCCCTTTTGCCACCCCTACCCCAAGACCGTGACGAAGTCGTAACAGTAGCTGCGGTCAGGTCAGTTGCAGCAGTGGCGAGAGAGGCAGTAAAGGTGGGCAGCTGTGGGACAGTGCACCCGTGAAACAGGGGAGGGGGCACAGCACCAGAGGCGGCGGCAACAGAACAAAGGTTGCTCTCGACGTCCTTGAGTGCTGACTCAAGGACCTCGATAGTGAGCTCACTAGGGTGCTTCAGAAGAAGCGTGTCACGAAAGAGGCAAGGCGGTCAGGGAGGCTAGTGGCGATGAAGTAGATAGTAATCGCCATGGGGGGAGGAAGCAGTGCAAGCTGTGCCTCAGTACAAGCAGCGCGGCAGCTAGAGTCGAGCGAGCGGAGGTGAGCAATCAAGTCAGCAGAGCGCTCAAACGAGGCGAGATCAGGGAACAGGAACGGTAGGAAGAGTCGGCCAAGAGAGACAGTGGTGGGAGTAGCGTAGCGGGCCTTAATCGCAGTCAGGTACTCGCTAGCAGTGCGAACCTGAGTGAAGTGGGCCTCCTCAGACTCAGGGAGGAGGCTGCTGAGGGCGATGCAGGCCGCAGCGTCACGCGACGTCCACGCCATCAGGTCAGCACGCTGGCGGGCAAAGCGGTCTCTGGCGGCGTCGTCAGGGTCAGGGCCTAAGGGCGTAGGGTCAGGGGGCGCAGGGAGGACACCACTAGCGTGGGCCCAGAGGGTCTCGCCCGACTGAACCTGACTCTCTAACAAGCGACGCGCGCGTAGGAGCTAGACCGGAAACTCGAGTGTTCTGCCGTCAGCGTCAAAACGAAGGACCCGAGGAGTCGCCATAGCGAAACTAGAAGCAGCTAGAACGATAGGTCCCACGGCAGGCCTGTCGAGAAGGCGCGGCGGCGGGCGGAACGAGCAGGCGCGGCGACACTAAGGGAGGGCCCGCGGCAGGCCGAACGAGCTGACGCAGCGGCTGGCAAGACGTGCAGGCACGGCGGCCAGCGTGGTGCGCGGGCGCAGCGGGAAGGGCGGGCGCAGCGGGAAGGGCGGGCAGGTAGGGCGGGCGGGTACAGAGGGTGCGGGTAGGGTGGGCAGGTAGGGCGGGCGGTTAGGGTTTGCGCGACAGCCAGCGGGGGGGGAGGGCGCGACGTGACGCGACGCGTCGGGCGACGGGCGACGGGACGTGACGCGACGGGCGACGGGCGCGACGCGACGGGCGACGGGAGAGGGGGCGACGCGACGGGCAGGGGGGGGAGAGCGCGACGCGACGGGCAGGGGGGGAGAGCGCGACGCGACGGGCAGCGGGGGAGAGCGCAAGGCGACGGGCAGGGGGGGAGAGCGCGACGCGACGGGCAGCGGGGGAGAGCGCGACGCAACGGGCAGGGGGGGAGAGCGCGACGCGGCTGGCAGCGGGGGAGAGCGCGACGCGACGGGCAGGGGGGGAGAGCGCGACGCGGCTGGCAGCGGGGGAGAGCGCGACGCGACGGGCAGGGGGGGAGAGCGCGACGCGACGGGCAGCGGGGGAGAGCGCGACGCGACGGGCAGGGGGGGAGAGCGCGACGCGACGGGCAGCGGGGGAAGGGCGCGACGCTAGGCTAGTCGGCGCAGCGGGCTCTAACGAACGGGCGAGACTAGATCGGGCCGGCGCTAGGCTTGGGCAAGATGGGTACTACGAGTACGATAGAGCTAGACAGGCTCGGGCGGAACGAACGTGGACGGGAGGAGCGGGATCCCACAGGATCCTAACCTAGGTGATACCATGTCAGAATCGAAAGTGTTGGTTTCATTGATGCAGGTTGGGGTACATATAACAAACCCTAACATTTGTACCCCCTAAGACAAACCTCACTACAGGCTACATCCATTCGACACCACGGTAGGAATGAAATTAACGACGGAATTAGTTTGCAACCTTGCAACGTGTGATACGATTGCACGGGACAAAATCAGCAAGGAAAAACAAAATTACTTTAAAACACCACTCTCCCTCCCCCTCCCCCCCCTCCACCCCCTTCCAGCCCCGCTCATTCCCTCTGTATACGCGTCAGGGCATTCCTCATACTTCATCGTGACGCCTCAAGGAAAAAAAAAAGAGGACAAACATCCTGAAATTTCAGGAAAAAATATACAACAATCAGGGTAATAATCAAAGTCGTTCTGAAATTACAGGGTGAAATCTAAACCCCATTCTGAATTCCTGTAATCAGGATGTTTTATCCTGATATCTAAGGCCCTGCTGCGGACAATGTAGAGTGAAGTTTAATGAAAAAGGTGGGGGTAAACTTCTAACGCGAACATATCTGGGTTGGGGAGACGAGTTGGGTAGGCCGCCCCGTTTGACATTCGTGTGTTTCTGGCATCCGCCGACTCCTTCGCGATCGCCCGCGCAATGCGGGGATTGCTGCGCTCTTTTCCGCCTCGCCTGACTCCCATGATTGGACCACATCGCGCGTCCACGTCAGCTCTTGCTTCCGATGCTGCTGCCACCGCTCTTGACCCCTCTGTTGCTGCCGCAGCTCTGCCATTACGAGCCTCTCATGCCCTGCCGCGCAAGTGCCACGTAGTTCTCGTTTGTCCCCGTTACAGTGCACCTCTTCCCATAAGCCCATATCGAACAGTCCCGACCGCCGGTGGAAGCACAGAGTCGGATAGCCGTCATTTTTCCTCTACATCCGGAAACAACCTCTCACATTCTTCCTGTTCCACCTTCGGGAAAGCGCAGCGCTCGAGAGCCAGACGGCTAGCCGTTAGCATGTCTACCGGCGCGGGTGATGCGGACCCCTTTAGACGCACAACTGGCGCCGACAGTGAGCCGCCGCTTGGCGGAGCGGCCGCGAAGGGCGGAGAGGCGGCGGAGCGAGGAGGGAGGGCTGGCGACGGCGTGGGGAGGGATGGGGTGGGGCGAGAAAGCTTGGGGAACGATGGCGTGGGGAACGATGGCGTGACGGGAGACGAGGAGTCGCGGCGGCGACTGATGCAGTCAGAGCTGCTGTTTGACGTCGGGGAGGAGAAGGTGAGAGGGGGAAGGGGGGAGGGGGGAGGAGAGAAGGTGAGGGGGGGCGCGGGGAGAGGAGAGGGGAGGAGTTGAAGCTGCTGTTTGACGTTGGGGAGGAGAAGGTGAGGGCAGCGACGGAGGAACGAAGGCGAGGGGAGAAGGTGGGGAGGCGACAGGAGTGAAGGTGCGGGCGGAGGCAGACGGGAGGACAAGGTGAGGGCAGCGACGGGGGAACGAAGGCGAGGGGCGGGGGGGGAAGAGAGGGCGAGGGGGGGGGGGGGGAAGAGAAGGGGAGACAGTGGGAAGAGAAGGTGAGAGAAAAGGGGGGAGAGAAGGCGAGAGAGAGGGGGGGGAGAGAGGGGAAAGAAGATGACGGGCCGGGTGTGGAGAGAAGGTGGCGGGGGGGGAGAAGGTGAGGGGCGGGGAAGAGAAAAGGTGAGGGGCGGGGAAGAGAAAAGGTGAGGGGCGGGGAAGAGAAAAGGTGAGGGGCGGAGGTTGGCGAGAAGGGAGGAGTTTGAGCTGCTGTCTGTTGAAGGGGGTTCCGCGAGGAGAGAGGGGGTGGGGAGAGAAGCGGGCAGGGAGGGGGGAGGTGGGAAAAGGTGGGGGTGAGGAGATAGGGGATGAAGAGATGGGGGTGCGGGGAGGGTGGTGGGGAGAGAGGTGATAGCTAAAGTTCGGTTGGTTCTCATAAGCTGGGCTGCGTTCGCACTTTCATTATGAGGGGGCAAGTTGGGAATAGAGAGGCAGGGTCGGTTGTGGGTGAGGCAGGGTCGGTTGTGGGTGAGGCAGGGTCGGTTGTGGGTGAGGCAGGGTCGGTTGTGGGTGAGGCAGGGTCGGTTGTGGGCGAGGCAGGGTCGGTTGTGGGTGAGGCAGGGTCGGTTGTGGGTGAGGCAGGGTCGGGGGATGTCGCGTACTTATGACTGACAATAATCGCGTACTTCTGTTGGCGTGTGGAGCATGTGAGCATCACTGCACTGCGTTTCACATGGGCTTCCCTTTGCCCCTGTGCTGTCGTGTGCTGTCTTGACCTTGGCGCCCTGTTCTGCCTGCCTATGTGACGCAGAGCCCACTGGTGTACTGCGATGACTACAACGTGCGCCTCTTTGGCATCGAGAAGCTGTGAGTGCGCTTGCCCTGCCTCATCCTGCTGCCATACTACCGGCCAAACACCCACGTGCCGACGCACCATGGGGCTCATACAGCCCTCCACCATGGGGCTCATACAGCCCTGCACCATGGGGCTCATACAGCCCTGCACCATGGGGCTCATACAGCCCTGCACCATGGGGCTCATACAGCCCTGCACCATGGGGCTCATACAGCCCTGCACCATGGGGCTCATACAGCCCTGCACCATGGGGCTCATACAGCCCTGCACCATGGGGCTCATACAGCCCTGCACCATGGGGCTCATACAGCCCTGCACCATGGGGCTCATACAGCCCTGCACCATGGGGCTCATACAGCCCTGCACCATGGGGCTCATACAGCCCAACCCCTCTCCCTCCCCGCCGCTTCCCGCTTTTTGCTTCTATCCTCCTTTCCTTCTTTTCCCTCTGCCTCCCCGCCTTGCTCTGTGCTCCACTGTCACTGTTTGTTCCCCCAACCTCACCCCCGTTTTCATTAAGGCCCCTCACTTCCGAACCTGTCCCATCCTCCCTATAGCAACTCCTATCGTACCCGTTTTCCAACTGCTTCCCTTTCTCTTCCGCTTCTCTTCTCCTTCCCTCCGCCTCTCTCCTCCTCACCGCCGCCTCCATGTCAAACTACTCGTCTGACTCAGTCGTGCAAACGCCTTGCATCGCTCTCCAATCGCACACGCCTTGCATCGCTCTCCAATCGCACACGCCTTGCATCGCTCTCCAATCGCACACGCCTTGCATCGCTCTCCAATCGCACACGCCTTGCATCGCTCTCCAATCGCACACGCCTTGCATCGCTCTCCAATGGCACACGCCTTGCATCGCTCTCCAATCGCACACGCCTTGCATCGCTCTCCAATCGCACACGCCTTGCATCGCTCTCCAATCGCACACGCCTTGCATCGCTCTCCAATCGCACACGCCTTGCATCGCTCTCCAATCGCACACGCCTTGCATCGCTCTCCAATGGCACACGCCTTGCATCGCTCTCCAATCGCACACGCCTTGCATCGCTCTCCAATCGCACACGCCTTGCATCGCTCTCCAATCGCACACGCCTTGCATCGCTCTCCAATCGCACACGCCTTGGGTTTCCCCCTCCGATCCACAGCCCGCCCTACTCCTCCCTCGCCTCCCCTCAATGCTTTCTCTCTCTTATGACCCTACACCCATCAGGCACCCCTTTGACTCGGGCAAGTGGGGGCGCATAGTGCGATTTCTCATTGACGAGGGGCGTGTACAGCCACACCAGGTGGTGAACCCCAGGGCTGCTACTAACGACGACCTGCTGCTGGTGAGCGTGACTGACTGACTGACTGACTTCTGTCCCTGCTGCTGCACTATCGTGTGGGCGAGGTGCGAATACAGTCACACCAGTTGGTTCACCCCACGGCTGCTTCCAACCATGATGTCATGTGCTGCTTCCAACCATGATGTCATGTGCTGCTTCCAACCATGATGTCATGTGCTGCTTCCAACCATGATGTCATGTGCTGCTTCCAACCATGACGTCATGTGCTGCTTCCAACCATGATGTCATGTGCTGCTTCCAACCATGATGTCATGTGCTGCTTCCAACCATGATGTCATGTGCTGCTTCCAACCATGATGTCATGTGCTGCTTCCAACCATGATGTCATGTGCTGCTTCCAACCATGATGTCTTGTGCTGCTTCCAACCATGATGGTTTTCTTGTGCTGGTTTTCTTGTGCTGGTTTTCTTGTGCTGGTTTTCTTGTGCTGGTTTTCTTGTGCTGGTTTTCTTGTGCTGTTGCGCCTCTGCCTGCTTGCTTGCCTGTGTGCTGTGCTGGCGCGCTGTGGCTTGGATGACGAGCTTCGCGCCACTGCTCATCGCACAGCGTTGACAGTGCTTCGAAGACTTGCCGTGCCACCATGCCACGGACCTCCATGGCGCTGCCACCATGCCACCCAGTGCGTCCCAGTGCAGTGCGTCCCAGCGCGTCCCAGTGCAGTGCGTCCCAGCGCGTCCCAGCGCGTCCCAGCGCGTCCCAGCGCGTCCCAGCGCGTCCCAGCGCGTCCCAGCGCGTCCCGGCGCGTCCCAGCGCGTCCCGGCGCGTCCCAGCGCGTCCCAGCGCGTCCCAGCGCGTCCCAGCGCGTCCCAGCGCGTCCCAGTGCGTCCCAGTGCGTTCCAGTGCGTCCCAGTGCGTCCCAGTGCGTCCCAGTGCGTCCCAGTGCGTCCCAGCGCGTCCCCTTCACATTGCACGAATGCTTCCCCTGCGCTGCCGTCATGCCCCATCAGGTGCATTCTCAGGAGTACCTGGACAGCCTTGGAAGCAGCTTCAATCTCGCCACCATTGGGGAGGTGAGGCGCGTGGTGTTTAGGAGGTGAGAGGCAGTGCCATGGGGATGGCGGATCATGCTTGCGGGGGGGGGGATGGTTGTTTGGTCACGCGACACAAGCTGCTTCTCTTCTTTGCTTGCGTTCTTGTGTGAGTTGCTTTGCTGCATGGCATGCCATGGCATGGCATGCACACGAAATGATACCTTTCTGAATCCGCCTTGGAAAACGTCTCCCACTTCTCCCGCTTCTCCCGCTTCTACTTGATCCTTAATCCCCTAATCTACCCCACCTTGCATATCTCCCCCTCACTGGTGTCGCCTCCAGCTGCCCCCACTGGCCCTCTTCCCCAACTTCGTCCTCCAGCATCGAGTTGTGCGCCCCTTTCGATACCAGGCAAGGTGATAGTGATGGTGATGGTGATGGTGGTGGTGATGGTGATGGTGATGGTGATGGTGATGGTGATGGTGATGGTGATGGTGGTGGTGATGGTGATGGTGGTGGTGATGGTGATGGTGGTGGTGATGGTGGTGGTGATGGTGATGGTGGTGGTGATGGTGATGGTGGTGGTGATGGTGATGGTGATGGTGGTGGTGATGGTGATGGTGGTGGTGATGGTGATGGTGGTGGTGATGGTGATGGTGGTGATGGTGATGGTGATGGTGATGGTGATGGTGATGGTGATGGTGGTGGTGATGGTGATGGTGGTGGTGATGGTGATGGTGATGGTGATGATGATGGTGATGGTGATGGTGGTGGTGATGGTGATGGTGGTGGTGATGGTGATGGTGGTGGTGATGGTGATGGTGGTGGTGATGGTGATGGTGGTGGTGATGGTGGTGGTGATGGTGATGGTGGTGGTGATGGTGATGGTGGTGGTGATGGTGATGGTGGTGGTGATGGTGATGGTGGTGGTGATGGTGATGGTGGTGGTGATGGTGGTGGTGATGGTGATGGTGGTGATGGTGATGGTGGTGGTGATGGTGGTGGTGATGGTGATGGTGGTGGTGATGGTGGTGGTGATGGTGATGGTGATGGTGATGGTGATGGTGGTGGTGATGGTGATGGTGATGGTGGTGGTGATGGTGATGGTGGTGGTGATGGTGATGGTGGTGGTGATGGTGATGGTGGTGGTGATGGTGATGGTGGTGGTGATGGTGATGGTGGTGGTGATGGTGATGGTGATGGTGATGGTGATGGTGATGGTGGTGGTGATGGTGATGGTGATGGTGATGGTGATGGTGATGGTGATGGCGATGATGGGGGTGGGGTGCGAGTGGGGTGGAGGTGATGGTGGAGAGGATGGTGATGGGGTCGTGTAGTTGTCTAGCAGAGCTGGTACGATATCTCTTTCCTCTCTTCTGCCCTCTGCCTCTCACCTCCTCTATCCTCCAATCACCCACTCGGGGCAGGTGGGGGTGGGGGAGGGGGCAGTGTGCTGACAGAAAAGCTACCAGTGGAGAGGGGTGCAGCCTTATGTCCTTTCTGTACCCTCAGTTTTCCTTACCATCTCCTGTCCTTTCTGTACCATCTCTTTTCCTTACCATCTCCTGTCCTTTCTGTACCATCTCTTTTCCTTACCATCTCCTGTCCTTTCCTCTCCCTCCACCTCTCCCAGCAGGTGGGGGGCAGTGTGCTGGCGGAAAAGCTACCAGTGGAGAAGGGCGCAGCACCATCTCCTTTCCTTACCTCCTCTTTTTGTTATCATCTCCTTTCCTTTCCTCTCCCTGCCTCCTCTCCAAGCAGTTGGGGAAATTGTTTTGGCGGGCAAGCTTTCAGTGGAGAGAAGAGCAGCGCAATATCCTTTCCTTAATTTCCCCCTCTTCCCTCCCGTGTCGTCCTCACTCCTCTCTCCACCACTCTCACCCTTTCCTTGCCTCCTCTCCGTGCAGGTGGGGGGCAGTGTGTTGGCGGCCAAGCTGGCAGTGGAGAGGGGAGCAGCGGTGAACGTGGGAGGGGGGCTGCACCACTGCAGCCGCCACACAGGCATGGGCTTCTGTGCCCTCGCTGACATCTCAGCCATCATCACCTTTGCGCGCGCGTTCCTGCCAGTCAGGAGGTGCGTGCCTGGCAGTCAGGAGGTGTGTGCCTGGGAGACAAATTAAAGGGTACTTCTGGTGTGTATTCATCATGTATGTATGCTTCCCAGTCTCCCTCTAGATCGCCTAAAATAGTGACCGCGTGTTGCTCTTCTAGTTGTGGACCTTGATGCACCTCACCCCAGGGTAGGGTCCACTCATCTGTTTCATCCCCTCTTCTCCTGCCTGCCGCAGGTGAAACAGTTTATCCAGATTCTACTTGCGGACATTGACCCCTCTGCTCCGCCTTCCTTGCTGCTCCCCCCTCCGTCCTGCCCCGCCTTCTTACCCTCCTTGCCCTGCCAGGGTGCTGTTAGTGGACATGGACGCACATCAGGTCTCACTCACCTCTTTCATTACCTCACATCCACCTCAATCGTCCCCCCCACCACCCACCCTCCCCGCCCTCCTCACCCTCCCCTCCCTCCTCGCCCTCCTCGCCCTCCCCGCCCTCGTCGCCCCATCAGAGTGCTGATAGTGGACTTGGACGCACATCAGGTCTAGGGAGACAGGTTTCATCTTCCCTTTCTCCCTCCCTCCCTCCCTCTCCACCCCCCTCCACCACCACCGCCCCTCCTTGTCCTCCTCGCCCCATCAGAGTGCTGATAGTGGACTTGGACGCACATCAGGGCAACGGCCATGAGACCGACTGGATGGGCGATGGTGGGTGGTGATGGGTGGTGATGGGCGATGATGGGTGATGATGGGCGATGATGGGCGATGATGGGCGATGATGGGTGGTGATGGGCGATGATGGGCGATGATGGGTGATGATGGGTGGTGATGGGCGATGATGGGTGATGATGGGCGATGATGGGTGATGATGGGTGATGATGGATGATGATGGGTGATGATGGTGTGAGGGAGATGGTGACAGGATGGGCAGTGGGCTCTGTGATGGTAAGGATGGGTCCCATAGCCCCCGGCTCAGACATCTGCTCATGATGTTGCATGGTATTTTTAAGAATTCTCAGAAATACCCTGCAATGTAAGGATGGGTCTCATAGCGGCATAGCCTCTGGCACAGACATCTGCTCATGCCTGCTATGGGTGGTGCGAGGGAGAGGAGGTGAGAATGGGTGATGGGTGGCATGAGTCAGGCAGCACCAGGCGGGTGGAATGGGGCGGCATGGCAAGTGGCACAGGGATTGGATGGGGATGGAAAGCTGAAGCTGGAGATGCATTCTCTACTTCTGCCAAGCACCTCCCCCTATGATGCTCCGCTGCTTTCACCTTAAGAAACTGCTCAATTCACTCCCTTGTCTGTTTTGCTACGCCAGTCATTGTTTCATCCATCCTCTCATGCTCCATCGTCTCATGCTCCATCCTCTCATGCTCCATCCTCTCATGCTCCATCCTCTCATGCTCCATCCTCTCATGCTCCATCCTCTCATGCTCCATCCTCTCATGCTCCATCCTCTCATGCTCCATCCTCTCATGCTCCATCCTCTCATGCTCCATCCTCTCATGCTCCATCCTCTCATGCTCCATCCTCTCATGCTCCATCCTCTCATGCTCCATCCTCTCATGCTCCATCCTCTCATGCTCCATCCTCTCATGCTCCATCCTCTCATGCTCCATCCTCTCATGCTCCATCCTCTCATGCTCCATCCTCTCATGCTCCATCCTCTCATGCTCCATCCTCTCATGCTCCATCCTCTCATGCTCCATCCTCTCATGCTCCATCCTCTCATGCTCCATCCTCTCATGCTCCATCCTCTCATGCTCCATCCTCTCATGCTCCATCCTCTCATGCTCCATCCTCTCATGCTCCATCCTCTCATGCTCCATCCTCTCATGCTCCATCCTCTCATGCTCCATCCTCTCATGCTCCATCCTCTCATGCTCCATCCTCTCATGCTCCATCCTCTCATGCTCCATCCTCTCATGCTCCATCCTCTCATGCTCCATCCTCTCATGCTCCATCCTCTCATGCTCCATCCTCTCATGCTCCATCCTCTCATGCTCCATCCTCTCATGCTCCATCCTCTCATGCTCAATCCTCTCATGCTCCATCCTCTCATGCTCCATCCTCTCATGCTCCATCCTCTCATGCTCCATCCTCTCATGCTCCATCCTCTCATGCTCCATCCTCTCATGCTCCATCCTCTCATGCTCCATCCTCTCATGCTCCATCCTCTCATGCTCCATCCTCTCATGCTCCATCCTCTCATGCTCCATCCTCTCATGCTCCATCCTCTCATGCTCCATCCTCTCATGCTCCATCCTCTCATGCTCCATCCTCTCATGCTCCATCCTCTCATGCTCCATCCTCTCATGCTCCATCCTCTCATGCTCCATCCTCTCATGCTCCATCCTCTCATGCTCCATCCTCTAATGCTCCATCCTCTCATGCTCCATCCTCTCATGCTCCATCCTCTCATGCTCCATCCTCTCATGCTCCATCCTCTCATGCTCCATCCTCTCATGCTCCATCCTCTCATGCTCCATCCTCTCATGCTCCATCCTCTCATGCTCCATCCTCTCATGCTCCATCCTCTCATGCTCCATCCTCTCATGCTCCATCCTCTCATGCTCCATCCTCTCATGCTCCATCCTCTCATGCTCCATCCTCTCATGCTCCATCCTCTCATGCTCCATCATCTCATGCTCCATCCTCTCATGCTCCATCCTCTCATGCTCCATCCTCTCATGCTCCATCCTCTCATGCTCCATCCTCTCATGCTCCATCCTCTCATGCTCCATCCTCTCATTCTCCATCCTCTCATGCTCCATCCTCTCATGCTCCATCCTCTCATGCTCCATCCTCTCATGCTCCATCCTCTCATGCTCCATCCTCTCATGCTCCATCCTCTCATGCTCCATCCTCTCATGCTCCATCCTCTCATGCTCCATCCTCTCATGCTCCATCCTCTCATGCTCCATCCTCTCATGCTCCATCCTGCCTCTCGTTCCCTCTTTCTCCGTGTCATGTTCCTTCCCCCCTACCTTCTTCACTCTACCCCTCACCCCCTTTTTTCCGCACTCTTGCCATCTCACTTCCTCCTACCCTCCTTTCCCCGTTTTCCCCTCCGCGTACCTTCTCTCCCCCATCCCCCTGCCTTCCTCCGCACCCCTCTCCACCCCTCCCAGAGGACGTGTTCATAGTGGATGTGTACAATACGGCCCTCTTCCCCCTCTGCCCTCCTCGCCCCCATCTCTCTGCCTCCCTCCGCACCCCTCTCCACCCCTCCCAGAGGACGTGTTCATAGTGGATGTGTACAATGCAGCCATCTTCCCACGGGTCAGTGCAGGCAGGCCAGGGCGCATTGGGGTATCTGGGGGTACTTGAGGCGCCTCAACACAAGTCTGAGGCGCCTCAAAACAAATTGGAGGCACCGACACAGTTCATTGTAGGTGTGTACAAGACAGACCTGAATGGTGTTAGCCGCCCAGTGCTGCAGCTGCCTTGTGAGGCGCCTCAAAAGACCTTCACAGACAGTTCATAGTAGCTGCGTACAATGAGGTCGTCTTCCCATCCCACCCACCCACGGGTCAGTGCAGGCAGGGCACTTTGGGATACCTGGGGGTATTTGATTTGATTTGAGGCGCTTCAAATAAAATGTGAGGTGCCTAAACATTCAAAAGTGGATGTTTAGCAGCAATGTAATGCAGCCATCTTCCCACGGGTCAGTGCAGGCAGGCATGCACCGCTCAATAGGGCACCCAGGGGGTTGGGAACAGATGAGATGAGAGGGTGAAGGGAAGGCGGAGGGGTGAGGGGATAGAGCGTGCAGGGGTGGTTGTAAGAGGGTGAGGGTGGGGCGAGGGTGGATTTGGGGAAAGTGGAAAAATGTGTTTGTGGGTTGGTCGTGAATGTTACTTGCCATGGCTGCTGGCTAAGTCACCTGCGGTGCATGTGGCAAGGTGTGCATGTGGCAAGGTGTGCATGTGGCAAGGTGTGCATGTGGCAAGGTGTGCATGTGTGCGTGTGGAGAGGTGTGGGTGTCGGTGATACGGCATCCTTTTGTTCACTGTCATCCTTTGTGACGTCTGAGTGTTGTTCGCTGACATCCTCCTATCCATGCGCCATGCCACCATCCCATGCGCCATGCCACCATCCCATGCGCCATGCCACCATGCCATGCGCCATGCCACCATGCCATGCGCCATGCCACCATGCCATGCGCCATGCCACCATGCCATGCGCCATGCCACCATGCCATGCGCCGTGCCACCATGCCATGTCGCCATGTCACCATGCCATGCGCCGTGCCACCATGCCATGTCGCCATGCCCCCATGCCATGCGCCATGCCACCATGCCATGCGCCATGCCACCATGCCATGCGCCATGCCACCATGCCTTGCGCCATGCCACCATGCCATGCGCCATGCCACCATGCCATGTCGCCATGACACCATGCCATGCGCCATGCCACCATGCCATGCGCCATGCCACCATGCCATGCGCCATGCCACCATGCCATGCGCCATGCCACCATGCCATGCGCCATGCCACCATCCCATGCGCCATGCCACCATGCCATGCGCCATGCCACCATGCCATGCGCCATGCCACCATGCCATGCGCCATGCCACCATCCCATGCGCCATGCCACCATGCCATGCGCCATGCCACCATGCCATGCGCCATGCCATGCGCCATGCCACCATCCCATGCGCCATGCCACCATCCCATGCGCCATGCCACCATCCCATGCGCCATGCCACCATGCCATGTCGCCATGCCACCGCAGGATCATCAAGCCAAGGCGGCCATTCGCATTGCCAAGGAGCTCAGAGTGAGTGAGTGTGCCTTGGTTTTGGTTCATGTGGGACACAGGAGTTGAGTTGAGCACCATGCAGCACGGGGCCATCGTGGACAGGTCTTGCTGCTTCACGTTCATTTCTCCACCATGCTTTTCTCCACCATGCTTTTCTCCACCATGCTTTTCTCCACCATGCTTTTCTCCACCATGCTTTTCTCCACCATGCTTTTCTCCACCATGCTTTTCTCCACCATGCTTTTCTCCACTGCACCACACACACCATGCGCATGCACCACACACACCATGCGCATGCACCACACACACCATGCGCATGCACCACACACACCATGCGCATGCACCACACACACCATGCGCATGCACCACACACCATGCATCCTATACCTTGCATTGATTGCTGCACGCCTGCCTATCCCACTGGCCCTGCAGAGTGGCACGGGCACCACACAGTATCTGGATGCTGTGGCGCAGGCTCTGCAGGAGGTGAGAGACCTGGGAGCGGTGAGAGACAGGGGAGGAAGAAGTGAGTGGCATGGGAGGGTGAGGAGGGGAGAGGTGAGGAACAGGGGAGAGGTGAGGAACAGGGGAGAGGTGAGGAACAGGGGAGAGGTGAGGAACAGGGGAGAGGTGAGGAACAGGGGAGAGGTGAGGAACAGGGGAGAGGTGAGGAACAGGGGAGAGGTGAGGAACAGGGGAGAGGTGAGGAACAGGGGAGAGGTGAGGAACAGGGGAGAGGTGAGGAACAGGGGAGAGGTGAGGAACAGGGGAGAGGTGAGGAACAGGGGAGAGGTGAGGAACAGGGGAGAGGTGAGGAACAGGGGAGAGGTGAGGAACAGGGGAGAGGTGAGGAACAGGGGAGAGGTGAGGAACAGGGGAGAGGTGAGGAACAGGGGAGAGGTGAGGAACAGGGGAGAGGTGAGGAACAGGGGAGAGGTGAGGAACAGGGGAGAGGTGAGGAACAGGGGAGAGGTGAGGAACAGGGGAGAGGTGAGGAACAGGGGAGAGGTGAGGAACAGGGGAGAGGTGAGGAACAGGGGAGAGGTGAGGAACAGGGGAGAGGTGAGGAACAGGGGAGAGGTGAGGAACAGGGGAGAGGTGAGGAACAGGGGAGAGGTGAGGAACAGGGGAGAGGTGAGGAACAGGGGAGAGGTGAGGAACAGGGGAGAGGTGAGGAACAGGGGAGAGGTGAGGAACAGGGGAGAGGTGAGGAACAGGGGAGAGGTGAGGAACAGGGGAGAGGTGAGGAACAGGGGAGAGGTGAGGAACAGGGGAGAGGTGAGGAACAGGGGAGAGGTGAGGAACAGGGGAGAGGTGAGGAACAGGGGAGAGGTGAGGAACAGGGGAGAGGTGAGGAACAGGGGAGAGGTGAGGAACAGGGGAGAGGTGAGGAACAGGGGAGAGGTGAGGAACAGGGGAGAGGTGAGGAACAGGGGAGAGGTGAGGAACAGGGGAGAGGTGAGGAACAGGGGAGAGGTGAGGAACAGGGGAGAGGTGAGGAACAGGGGAGAGGTGAGGAACAGGGGAGAGGTGAGGAACAGGGGAGAGGTGAGGAACAGGGGAGAGGTGAGGAACAGGGGAGAGGTGAGGAACAGGGGAGAGGTGAGGAACAGGGGAGAGGTGAGGAACAGGGGAGAGGTGAGGAACAGGGGAGAGGTGAGGAACAGGGGAGAGGTGAGGAACAGGGGAGAGGTGAGGAACAGGGGAGAGGTGAGGAACAGGGGAGAGGTGAGGAACAGGGGAGAGGTGAGGAACAGGGGAGAGGTGAGGAACAGGGGAGAGGTGAGGAACAGGGGAGAGGTGAGGAACAGGGGAGAGGTGAGGAACAGGGGAGAGGTGAGGAACAGGGGAGAGGTGAGGAACAGGGGAGAGGTGAGGAACAGGGGAGAGGTGAGGAACAGGGAGAGGTGAGGAACAGGGGAGAGGTGAGGAACAGGGGAGAGGTGAGGAACAGGGGAGAGGTGAGGAACAGGGGAGAGGTGAGGAACAGGGGAGAGGTGAGGAACAGGGGAGAGGTGAGGAACAGGGGAGAGGTGAGGAACAGGGGAGAGGTGAGGAACAGGGGAGAGGTGAGGAACAGGGGAGAGGTGAGGAACAGGGGAGAGGTGAGGAACAGGGGAGAGGTGAGGAACAGGGGAGAGGTGAGGAACAGGGGAGAGGTGAGGAACAGGGGAGAGGTGAGGAACAGGGGAGAGGTGAGGAACAGGGGAGAGGTGAGGAACAGGGGAGAGGTGAGGAACAGGGGAGAGGTGAGGAACAGGGGAGAGGTGAGGAACAGGGGAGAGGTGAGGAACAGGGGAGAGGTGAGGAACAGGGGAGAGGTGAGGAACAGGGGAGAGGTGAGGAACAGGGGAGAGGTGAGGAACAGGGGAGAGGTGAGGAACAGGGGAGAGGTGAGGACAGGGGAGAGGTGAGGAACAGGGGAGAGGTGAGGAACAGGGGAGAGGTGAGGAACAGGGGAGAGGTGAGGAACAGGGGAGAGGTGAGGAACAGGGGAGAGGTGAGGAACAGGGGAGAGGTGAGGACAGGGGAGAGGTGAGGAACAGGGAGAGGTGAGGAACAGGGGAGAGGTGAGGAACAGGGGAGAGGGTGAGGAACAGGGGAGAGGTGAGGAACAGGGGAGAGGTGAGGAACAGGGGAGAGGTGAGGAACAGGGGAGAGGTGAGGAACAGGGGAGAGGTGAGGAACAGGGGAGAGGTGAGGAACAGGGGAGAGGTGAGGAACAGGGGAGAGGTGAGGAACAGGGGAGAGGTGAGGAACAGGGGAGAGGTGAGGAACAGGGGAGAGGTGAGGAACAGGGGAGAGGTGAGGAACAGGGGAGAGGTGAGGAACAGGGGAGAGGTGAGGAACAGGGGAGAGGTGAGGAACAGGGGAGAGGTGAGGAACAGGGGAGAGGTGGGACAGGGGAGAGGTGAGGAACAGGGGAGAGGTGAGGAACAGGGGAGAGGTGAGGAACAGGGGAGAGGTGAGGAACAGGGGAGAGGTGAGGAACAGGGAGGGTGAGGAACAGGGGAGAGGTGAGGAACAGGGGAGAGGTGAGGAACAGGGGAGAGGGAGGAGAGGGGAGAGGAGGAACAGGGGAGAGGTGAGGAACAGGGAGAGGTGAGGAACAGGGGAGAGGTGAGGAACAGGGGAGAGGTGAGGAACAGGGGAGAGGTGAGGAACAGGGAGAGGTGAGGAACAGGGGAGAGGTGAGGAACAGGGAGAGGTGAGGAACAGGGAGAGGTGAGGAACAGGGGAGAGGTGAGGAACAGGGGAGAGGTGAGGAACAGGGGAGAGGTGAGGAACAGGGGAGAGGTGAGGAACAGGGGAGAGGTGAGGAACAGGGGAGAGGTGAGGAACAGGGGAGAGGTGAGGAACAGGGAGAGGTGAGGAACAGGGG